ATTGAAATCAATGTAAAACACATGTAACTGATTACATATTTATCAATTTATCTATATGGGGCAGGTGATGAATATAATCGATTGGTGAACTTTGTGATTTTTTCGAATTTATTCAGACCTCAATCCGATTTTGTCCGGAAGCTCGCGATTCTTGCGTAACAAGTAGTGCGATTTTGTGTGAAAAATAAGGGTTGGTGTAACCCGGAAGGGTAGATGATATATCGGAGCAAAGTCATCTTTACGTAAGTGTAGTTCAGCATTAACACTTTCACTCGTTTCACTATTGCTCACAGACGTTGAAGTATGCCGTAAGGTTTCTAGTCACGACAGACTATTCAAACTGTAACTTTCACTCGGTGCTCTTCCTTATGGTGCTTGCAATTACTGAATGATGCTTGCGGTTGCGATTTTTTTCACTCGATTAGCGCCCTTTCTAATCAAACGGACCGGAAACGTGAAAAAATCCAGTCAATTTTTATAATTTAGCGAATACAGGAAACTGTAAATTTCTTTTGGTATTTCCAAGTCGGCTGGGAACGGACAAGATTTTACGCAAAGCGCCGCTACGAGAAGCAGCTTTGACGCATCATTCCGTTTGCGGTGCAGAACTGTTGGGGTCATTGTACGTCCTCAAAACATGACCGTGTCGAGTCACTTTCCGTAAGACGCGTTTTCCGTTACTGAAATTCATTATTTTTTTATCGATTTAAAATTTAAACTATTCGGGTATTCCGTTGAAACGGGACTCGAAAATAAACGACGACGAATACGAGTTATCTCTTAATTTAATTTAATTTAATTGAGGTCACGGGATGACGGAAGTGCATCATGTTGATGGTCACATGCTCATAGGATTTTTGTCGTCCTTGTATGACTCGGTTGGTAGTATTGTCAGCGTTACTATGTCAGGAAGGCTAAGTGGCGTCCTATGACGTAACGTGCCCTTGAAACGAAAAACAAAGACGCTCAAAATTGCAAAGGTCACTAGGAGTTTTGCAGCAGGTGGGGCGGGGGTTCAGGGTTATACTGGGTGGGGAATTTTTTTTTTTTTTAATTTCATAAAGTCATGATTTAAATCCGTTGGTGCCAATTAATTCATTAGTTTATAGAGTCACGTGATTTTGAAATCCAATCAAAGATGTCCCAGACTTAGTTTCTAAAATACCCACATTGTTTCTTTTGTTTTTGAACAATAGGTACATATTAGCAGATCAAGACGAAGAAAAAAGCATCTTTTTTGTCTAAGGTAGAGTCAAGTGAACTTAAAAACCCATAAATATAATTATTATGTAGGTACTTAGAAAAAGATGTTTTGGGATGCGGATGAAAGTTGACTCACCTGGTATATGTATAAATAATTAAAAATTTTGTGCTTGATACATATCAACTTTTTAGTTAAAGGTAACGTGATTTCAAAAGCCAATACATCTCGTTATAACTTAATGTTGAAAATTTCTATAAATGCGACCATATAGGTGTGTCAGAATTCGCGCCCCAGAGAAAAATTTCAATTAAGATAAGATACCAGGAACATGGAAAAAAATATTTAAAAAATTCTCTGTAAAAAAATTTTGACATTTATTTTTTGACATTTGTCATTTTTTTATGTCTATTTAATGATACTGATGATCCTGAATATGTTTTTTTTATAATTATTAGTAAAGGTACAAAAATGTTAATAAAAGTCACAAATAACATTGAACAGAGTTACAATTTAGGATACAGCTTCCTTGTTTCTTCTTTTAATAGCCTATAGCAAAAAAACTTGGAAAATTATTTTTCCAACAGAAATAAACGAATCAAAGCGCAAAATTTAAACTCTCATAACTTCGAAATTTGTATAGATAGAATTTTTTTAACATTTCTTCCATGTTTCTGGTATCTTACCTTACATGACATTTTTCTCTGGCTTGCGAGTACTGGCGCACCCCGTATGTAAGTATTTTATAACAAAGTGCAATTACAAGAAAATACTGTTTTGTTTTTAAGAGAAACGTTTTTTTGCAAAAATTTTATGATTTGAATTAAGAATCTTTATTTATTTTGCTTAAATGATGTTTTTTTAAGAAGTTAAAAACCATATTTTTTTAACAAATTCCAAAATCAAAATTTCCTAAAAACTTGATTTCTCACAATGTCATATTTTTTGGGTTTTTACTGTTTTTGTTCAAACTTCATTCACTGTGAAATAAACTGGAGAATTGTAAAAAATAAAAAAATAGATTTGTTTTACCGACGATGGAAATAATCGATAGTTTACACAATTTGTTCCGTAAACGTAAGACTGATATGATTGGCATTACGCAACGTTAAATTAAGTCTTGACAGGTAACAGGTGACAAGTGCAGTATTAGAAAATGTATAATTACTGTCGAAGATAAATGTATTGACAATAACATTTTATTTCCTGAATTTGAGATCAGAATTAGGAATTTTGGATTTTAATGTTACTATTTCTTGTGAAAAATGTGTATGCATTTGATGTTTAAATAAATAAGGAAGCAGAATTATTTGCTTGTGTTATTCTTAGAACAAATTTTGTAAAAAGTAATTATCGAAAAAATTGAGCGATAAGCCGGTCTAAGGATGTTTGTTAGAAAATAGCTGTTTGAGAAGGTTGCCTATTTAGTCATTTTATTTACAAAGAAATGATAACCTTGAGCGATTATTTGTTTATGTTATTGTTTTATTATTTTGAAATTAAAATGAAAAGCGAAAATCGAAATTTATTTACAAACGGCGCCAGTGATGTCCAAACTTAAGATCGTAAAAGATTAATGCCTTTTTACGTCCACTTTGAAAAAATAAAAACAACGACCTCGAAAAGTTCAACAAACTATCAACGACGTAAATTTCTACGTGGATAAAAATATCTCGTTTTTACGCTCGCTGAATAAGATTTTTCTTATTGTTTTTATTGCACGATTTTGGCTGTTTATCGCAACTTTCTATTCAGTTTTATTTCCTCTTTCTCGTGCAATAATTATCTAACCACTAATGGATTTTCCCCCGACTTTCTCCACACTTTTGTCGAAATATTTTCGTGGTGACCCTGACAGGGCACCGTTCAAATCCCGCGAACTTTGAAACTTTCTAAAAGTAAAAGTTTTTTCGTTTATGTAATTATTTATCGGTCCGGTTTCTGCAGGTCTTTGTCAGATGATAATTTGAAGTTTAATGCTAATTATTTGCATCAGATAGCACGGGGCCAATGCCCTGTATGCCGTGACGAAATTTGCGTCTTACATAAATTACACACTTGGTTATATATTTTTAAACTGTTTTCTTATGCAACAATAACATTTTCAAGAGAAGGGTCATATTCGCCAATGGAATTTTATTGCGAATTCAATGCCAAATTAACTTTCGGATTTTTTACAGAGATTAGGGGACCTTTTCGGGGACGAATGATCGATCGACGCGGCAAGTGCAAGAGGTCAACGATGGAATTTTTAATCAAACGCCTAGAACAAAAAAAAAACTCAATTTTTAAACATTGGTCGATTTTAGCACTTTATTCTAAACTGAGGGCTAAATTAGTCTATTTTTGTTTTGTTTGTCTCCGACACGATTTAATTATTTTTAGGTTGTTTTTAATTCAATCTGGGAGCTTGACTAATATCAAATGGAACTTAAAAACATCCGAAAAATGTAGAGAAACCTGAAAAAATGCTAATAAAAATACTAGATTGTTTCAGTTTGTCGATCAAAAGATTTGTATGAGAAGCTTTTCAAACGAAATTGATGAAATTTTTAATCCTGCTTTAGAAAAACTTTTGGTTTTCAGGATAAAATTTCAAAAATTACAATTTAAATATTTTTTGCTTTTTAGTAAGGGTAGACTTTTAATTGAAAAATAGGAAAAAAATTACTTAAAATATAATAAACACAGGCTTTAATTTAAATTATAGTCAAAACGTAAAGAAAAAAGAAGTGTTTCAAAAGTCAAAAAAATTGATCAAATTTTTAATCCGGCTTTAGAAAAACTTTTGGTTTCTAGGTAAGATTTAAAAAAAATACAATTTAGGGATGAACTATTTTTTTGTTCTTTAGTAAGGGCAGAGTTTTTTAATTGAAGAGATAGGAAAAAAATTGACTCAAAATAAAATAAATACATATTTTGATTTAAATTAGTCAAATCTTAAAGAAAAAAAAGTGTTTCAAAAATCGAAAAAAATGTTTCTTTTATATCAAAAATTGTTTGCATGTTTTTTGATAATTGATAAAAAAATAAAAAGATTTTTTTAGGAACAAACTTGTTTTTTTAAGTGTCATTTTATTTTTATTAATCCCAATTTAAATTTTATAGATCTATCGCTTTTTTTATTTTTCGCTAATAACAGGTAGTTAAGAAAAAAATAATTTCAAGCCCTTCAATTTTTTTTGAATAAACGACGTTTTTTCTCTGCAGATACTAGTTTTTGTATTTTTTATAAACTTTCAATCAAAACTACTAGAAAATCTAACAAATATCTATAAAAAAAATTAAATGCCACAAGAAAATGTTTTAATTTGATGCAAAATACGAGAAATTGTTCAGTTTTATTTAAAAAAATTTTGCTTTCAGTCAGTTTTAAGTTTTTTGCTTTGAATAATACTCCACTCGAAAAACATGACATAGCTACAAAAAAAAGAATTTACCTAAATAAAGAATTTTTTTCTCTTTTTAACTACTAAACACATAAATAATCGCTTTTTAAAAATAATTTTCTGAAAATTCCGAAGTCACTTTTTTGTACCGATAATCGAAATTTACAGAAATTTGGCAGAATTATTTTTATATCTGAATTAGTTTCCTCCCTTGTGCCCAAATAATTTTATTCCTAAATAAATTGTTTTGCTAGCGCAGAAAATGCTATAGTAAAACCTCATTGTATTGTAAATTAAAAAAATTATTTTGATCACTAGGTGATTTATCCAAATTTAAATAAATTTGGATTTTTTCTGGAGTTTATCTGATTTGTAAAAATGGATGTTTCTGTGTCAAATGGTGTTGATTGATGAGTCAGCGACCGGTTAGGGCCTTTGTGGTCCACCCCTCGTTTGAAAAGGGGCGTAATCCCTTCAGCTTCAGCAGCCAGTGGTTCGTGAGCTTTGCATCCGCTGTAAAACTCCTCTCTTAATGTAAAATTTCGTGTTAAATATAGTCCGAAAGTACGGCTGTTGTTTTTGTCGAAGCGTTACGTAATCCAGGATTGAACATGTGCTCGTAAGTCTCTTAGTTTTCTCGAATTTACCGCGCAACGAATCTAAAACGATCGTCCTAAATTTCATTTGTGTATAATATTAACTCTGTAACTGCAAATAATAGCTTCTATAATGGCGTCCGGATTGCAACATTTGTCCTAGATGCGGGTCATTGCTATGTGAGAGCAGCGTTCCCATTGAAATCGAAATGTAAGGTCGTGTGGTGGGATTCTCAACATTCTATACTCAGCCAATCACAAATTCGTTCTATGTGAAAATTTTCCAAATTTGTTGCATCATCGACAGCCTCCTGACCATGCAGAAATTTTCACCTTTGCATGAAATCAAAACCGGTGAAAGCATGCCAAATATTGCACAAGACGGATTTTTTCGGTTTGGTTGTCTAAGTTTAGTTCCTGCAAAATGACCCGCACGAAGGAGAGCGACAAATTCGGCGATGGAAAAAACCTTTGCCGAAAGAAAAGATGAAAACAATGAGCGATTTCGAATTATTTGCAAAGGTTTATGGGAAATCGGCGAGATTTAGACGGTGTTTAGAAAGGAGGGAAATTATATAACGTTCACATAACACAAGAGCAAATTTTATTTATTCCTATAATTACTTTGCTACATACTGTTTCAAACTGAATTTATTATCAATTAACCATTTTATGGCGACATTTTATCTTACGCGATGTTAATTAGTGGAAAATAAAATTTCAGTTTTTACTCTGTGTAATAAAAAGAAAATAAAACTGAAAGTGTTGACTCTGTTACTAAAGCAAAAATCCAGAGTACAGCCATAGGCAATGATAATGCACAAAGCGACACCAGCTGCACTTACGGAATGCTCTAAGAATTCCTAATTTTTTTGCATATATTTGTTTTGACGTAAACTTTGCAACAGTGGAGAATTTCTTAAATCAAGAGAAGGAAAGTAGTATAATTAGTGGTCTTCCGGCTTAAAAAAAGAAAGAATTGTTTGCTTTTGTTTGCAAACAGGAAAAGACTTCCTTAGAAAAGTTCAACAATTCGTAAAAAATTAGTGAATGGTGAACTGAAATAACACCAGAAGAAAGCAAAAGAAATATTCCATACGGAAGATCACTGAGGCGAGATGCCTCAGTCATTTTACTTGAATCATGTATGGGATAGATAATAGTATTTAGTACTTGAACAAATCCAAAAATATTTAAAAATTTACATAAAATTAACACTTGTGTAACTAACATATCTATACTTAATTACAATTGCTAACGTTTTAATAAAATAATAATAATAGCAAAGTAAAGCAAAAATAGAAGAGAAAAAACTAACTAATGATCAAAACAAATCATGTCTTTTGTACTTTTTCGTCATAAAATTTAATGTTTCTAGTTTTTTATTAAGCATCTCGTCTCAATTTTTGAATAAGTATAAAAAATATTTTCTAAAGTTCATCATTTTTATTTCGTTTTATTTTACTTCTCTGCTTATCTTTCTTAAAACAAAAAATTCGTTAATTCGACTTTTACTCACTTATCGATTTACTGAAGTTCCATTGTAGTATGAAACTAAAGTATAAAGTAAATTCTATCTGTCAAAAAATTTCGACATTAATGACATTCTTTCATGTCTGTTTAATGACACTGATGATATTGTAAATGTTTTTTTTTTATAATTGTTTAGTAAAAGTACAAAAATTTTGACAATAAAAGTCACAAATAACATTAAACAGAGTTACAATTTAAGATAGAGCTTCCTTGTATCCTCTTCTAATATAGCCTGTAGCAAAAAAAACTTGGAAAATTATTTTTCCAACGGAAATAAATAGAGTCAAAGTGCAAAATTTAAACTCTCATAACTTTTAAATTCTTATAGACAGAATTTTTTTAACATTTTTTCCATGTTCCTGGAACATTCCATCTTACCGTTTTCTCTGGGGCGCGAGTTCTGGCGCACCCTGTATACAACATTATCAGTATCATTAAATAGACGCGCCCTGTATAACTAAAAGTAGAGTAATGCTCATTTTATGTCTCCTTTATTTTTTAAACTCTTATACATTTCTAAAAATTATTGTACCTTAAAAGGATTCAACTCGTGTTTTTCTCATTTCGACACAAGGTAAGAGAGTGATTTAAATGACAAACTAATTTACAACGTACAAGTAATTTAAAAAACACAACCCATTTAACTTTTTATTTTATCACTCAGGCAAAATAGTGTGCGAAACGACTGTTTTTTGATGTGAGAATACATCAAAAAAGCATTGGAGCATTAAAAACAATTTTGCATACATAACATAAACAACGTTTTTTCTATAGTATTTAATTAATTTATTTAAAATACTTCATAATTGAATTGTTTATTTCTATTAGTACCTATGTGAAATGCCGTCAGTGTGTGAAATGAGTACCTATTTCACACACTGCAGTGCATTTCTCACCCTTAACAGACAATGCTTACCTAACTTCGCGCAATGTGTGAAGTTCAATTTCACACTTCAACTGTCTGAAATAAAAGTAGTGACAATTTATTTAAGGAAGAAAGTAAATTTAATAAATCTATTTGTTCGCTACAAGAGCTAAAAAAAAATGTTACTTATAAAAAAAAATTCAAGAATTTTTTTTTTCTAATCATACCTATTAAAGAATTTGTATATATTTTTATACTTTTCTCTTACGTTTTCAGTTGAGAAAGTTGTTCAATCTTCAACTGTAGAGGAAATTCAAAATTGTGGGGAAAAAACTGGTTAATGGGTATACAGGGTGAAGAAGAGTATATAGAAATACCGTAACCGAGAAAAAAAATCATACAATTGTTATTATTATGAAGGTTATTTAACTCCAAAATATTGGTACACGGTTTGAGGGTCACTGGAATTATTTCCTTGTTCAGATAAAATTGTAATGTTGCAACAAATAAAAGAAAAGTCACTTCATATTTTTGACACTGTCATCATTTGATTTGCTTTTGCATTAGTTTCTAGCAAAATTCGACTATTTTCTGCTTAATCTCTTCCAGCGGAATGGTTTGCAATAGGTTTGATTCATTTTTCTTAATTTTTTTTCCAAATTTATGAGCATGGTTGGCAAAATATATTAAAATAATAAATTGGTTGTCGTGATTATGATTTACGGTGAAACACAAGGTAATAATACCAATGGCCATTGTTGCAGCCGAAGCAGCAGTTCTCAAACAAATTTTCCTCTACCGTAAATATCATCTCTTTAAATTTCAACCTGAAACATAAACACCCTGTATTGACAATAAATTGAAAAGACAAAATAAAATATTACAGTCATTTATTAAAAAAAAAGTAGTAGAAAAAAGTATAGTATTAAACTCGTGAAAATACGCCATTTTGACTCGACTTCGGCTCGTATCGTAAATTTCATCTTCGTGGAAATGGCCAACTTTTTCACTCGTTGAATAATATACTATTTTCATGTATCATAAAATACTAGTTTCTAGTGTTTAATGAAGCGTTTTTTTTTAAATTTTTGCCAAAAATGCCTAAATTTTTTACATACATAAACTCCAAAAAATATTCAGTGATACAAACAACTCACTTCTCGTCTTACAAAATTTCCACTGTAGTAATAATTAAAGAGTACGTTTTTTTTATTCTTAAAAACAATGTATATCAAATATGTAATTACGAGAACCTACCTAATTATAGCTTAACAAAAAATAGTCTTTTCGATACAAGGGAAGAAAATGACAAACTGTAGCTTTCATGAAACTGAAAATAGAAAATTTACAAGTAATCTGAGAAACACACCCCATTCAGGTTTTTCACGGATGCAAAAAAGGGTTTCAGATAGATTGAGGAACTGTTTTTTGCAAGTTATATCAAATAAACCAATTTTTATCGAAGTATTTATTATACTAGATGTTTTAATGATTTTTGCACAAAACTTAGAAACATAATCTCTTATTTTTGTAGTAACAAAGTTTAAATTTTCTCATCACACTATTTGAGTCCAAGCACAAAATTTGAACCAATTATTGAATATTTCGTATTTCTGATTTCGTCACATATTCTTTTGTTTATTGTTGTTGAATCGATTCAGGTTTCTTTGTATTTTTGTGCAACTTTTCGCATGGAAATCTTGGATTATGTCCAAATTAGAATATCAAGTCGGTCCCCTTGTGCGCAGTAAATCCGAGTCCTCGAAACTCAAGTAAGCATCGTCGAGGGTCAACCAGAAAATAAATCCAATCTAAACTCTCGTGTAAAAAATCACTTCCGTCAGTTCCTCCTTCCGACTCCGGTGGCCTCCGTCTTATCACTCAACCAGCAGTACCAAAACCGTTGCGTAATTTGGCATCCACCACGTGACGTGGAGACTTCAACTCCGGGCCAAGCCGCCGCAACATCATCAGATTGTTATTAAAAGAGAGAAAGCAGGAAACGGCGTGTATAATATCCGAAAGTGAAATTGTCGGCTTTCCATATCGGCCATAGCGTCGGTAGCGTCCACCATTTTACATAAAGCGTATACTTTTACCGTTGAGGTGATGTAGGTCAACTTTCTCTTCGAAGTGAAACCGTCGTTTTTTCGCACAGTTCGGGTGAACAACCTCTTGCGTAAGCATTGTCCTTCCTGTGAGTGCGAGCGGCCTTTCGGGACTGATGGAGAGAGCCGTCTTGCGGTGCTGAAGATGGCCGCGGCCCCACTCTACACTATCAGACTAGTGCAGCTAGTGCAGTCGGATAGTTCGTGCCCTACTTTGTACCTGGATTGTAGCTGTTTCTGTAGTACAACTTTTACCGTTAGTGAACGCGGTCGCTCGGTGACCAGTGAGTGGCCTATGAGGGATTATGACCGATTTTTAATCGCTTGATGCGAAAAAATGTCCTCGCTAGGTGAGATTTTCACGATTTTCGTCTCGCGACAAACGTTTTCCCTTTTATCAAATGTTGACCGAGGGTACAATGCCTCCAATTGTTACGCAATTTAAGAAAATTTTGGTATAAGGTCACTAGTGACGTCACGTGAGGGAAATTCGCCACAACCATGACCTTTCAAAGTGTTAATCATCAGGGTTAAAATTTTCTAGTTTTTGAACCATCAATGACTCACGGACTAGCAGATGCTAAATGTATTTTTCTCACAACTTTGGAAATATTTATCGGTTTGATGATGGTTATTTCGGGTTACGAGAAGTGGATCTAATTTTAGAGACGTGACATGAAGAATGGTTGGAATTTGTCAATCAAATACTTTAGAATCCCTCAAAAATAAAAATTGCGACACGAGGTTAATGTTATTCAACTTTTGTTTAGTATTTTTTTGGTGTAGGCACCACTCAATGGGACCTTGGAAAGGTGTGGTAACAAACCACAAGACCCGCAAATATATTGACAAAATATTTTTTTCTTATCTAAAAATCTTAAAAAATAATTCGTCCTTAACAAACGATAAATGATAAGAAAGCAACAGGTATTTTGGAGGCGGCTGGTCTTTCAGAAATGATGTTTCAGATTTGTTACTTTAGGAAAAATGTACAATTGTACAATCCTTCATTATTGATTTGGGATACACATTTCAGTAATCCACAACATTTATTTAATAAAAAACGATAATTCTGTTTTTCTACAAAAATATTAGCACTTCTTCGGGACAGTGGTAAATACAATTTTTAGAACTCGCGCCCCAGAGGAAAATGCCATGTAAGGTAAGATACCAGGAATATGGAAAAAATGTTAAAAAAATTCTACCTAAAAAATTCTATACTTAGGTATAGTAAAATTTTCGAAATTGTGGGAGTTTAAATTTTGCACATTGACCCTATTTAATTAAATAATTTTTTAAGTTTTTTTTGCTACATGCTATTCAAAGAGGAAATAAGAAAGCTGTATCCTAAATTATAACTATATGTTCACCGTTATTTGGGGCTTTTATTAGCAAGAATTTTGTACCTTTACTAAACAAATAATTTTTTATAAGAAAAAACATATACCCACAAGATCATCAGTAACATTAAATACACATAAAAAATGTCAAGTGTCAAAAAATAAATGTCATAATTTTTTAAACATTTTTCCTATACGTTGCTGGTATCTTAACTTACTTGTATTTTTTTCAGAGGCGCGAGATCTCAAACACCCTGTAGACGGAGCAGGACGCAAATTTTTATTATCTTCATAATATAATCTTTAAAATACTCGTATGTTGTATTTGACAAACTAAGGAAAAATGTAAATATGCAGTAATAAAACAAAATCGGCTCCTACTTCAAAAATTATTTAGGTATTATCAACACAATTAATTTTTTTAACATGCCTTCAATGATGGATTCTTGGAGGTTCAACAAATCGATTTTTTGTTTTTGTAGACTTTTCGTTATAATAAAAAAACATAAAGTAAATTATTTAATAATTGGAGCTTGTTTTGAAACAACTGTTACAATTATATATAGTCTGTCCCAAAATTCGCGGAAGGGCTTTAGGTATATGTAAATTGCAACTATAACTTTAACGTTGTTTGTGGTTTTTATGGTCAATGCTCTTGTGTCTTTATTTGAAAAAACAAGTAGCAATATCACTGGTAGTAACAATAAATAGTGAAATGTCAAAATATTACAAAAACCTTTAGAATGGATTTTTCAACATTTTTCCCATGCTTTATGTGTTTTATGTTTGATCGAAGTGTACCAGGATTTTGTAAGTAGTTAAATTGGCAACGTGAACCATCAAATTCAAACGTCATATTTTTATAGTCAATTGTCATTCATTTCCGAGGGCAGCTCTGTTGGCATGGCCGTCGCTGGCACAATCTATTATCACTAATAATTCGGTGTTGCCAATTTATTTTCAAAGTCTCGGGTTACATTGATTTATTTGAAATTATGGTATCATAAAGCGTTGGGAAATTTTGAGACACCTGTATAAGTCTATACATAGAATAGATAATAATGTCAATTAAATGGCATTGAAAATAAAAAATATTTTTTATTAAAATGCCTTATTACTTGCTCAAGTCTAAAAACTTCTAATTACTATCTGCATTATTTATTTGCGAGGATGATGTAAATAATTTAGTAACAGCGTCAGATTATATTTTCGAATCTTTCGTCTTCTTTTATTTGTGAGGCGTTTTTGTTGTCATGTTAGCGGGAGTAAATGGTAGTCTTTCCTCCCCACTTTGGTCAATAAATCGTAGTAGAAATAGTTTTTAAGTGTCTGAATTTTTTTCAGGAATTATGACCCTTACGCGTGCCCCGTGTGAGCTCGACAAGATGAGCCTCTTCCAGGACCTGAAACTGAAGCGAAGAAAAGTGGATTCACGTTGCAGCAGTGACGGTACGCCCCTAGCCATCCTCTCACCTCACTAGCTTAGTAACCACCCACCCCCCACATTTCATAATCAAAAATCAAAAGTACTCTAAGTCGCTTTTGAAAAAAATTAGAGTAGGCAGCCATCAGCAAAATTTGCTTTTAGGCAATGTCTCTGTCCGCTTCTAGGCGAATCTGTCGCCGATACTAGCACATCATCGCCAGATCTCGTCAGCCCTTCGTCTCCAAAAATGTCCGAGGCGGTCGTGAGCCCCCCCAGCCCCGACTCCACTCCGCACCACCCGCCCGAGCCGACCCTGGACAGCGTCTCCAGCCGGCTGGAGGACTCCGGCGTGTTCGACGGCGGGGGTGTAATCCGCCCGTTGCCCCGCTCGCAGGGCCCCCCGTTCCCGGCGCCCGCCGCCGGCCCCCGCCAGCCTCCGCGGCCCCACAGCTCGCCGCACAGCCCCGGCATGGCGCCCCCCGAGCCGCGCTCGGTCATCATCAGCCCCCTATGGAAGCAGCGCATCAATGGCGTCAAACCCGAGCTCATCGGTGGCAGCCCCGCACGACCCTCGGGCGCCGCCCCCGCCAGACAAACCCCCACCGTCATCATGGGCGAGGCGGGCGGCGTTCGAACCATGATCTGGTCGCAACCAGAAACGCCGCCACATGCCACCACATCCTGGGGCTCCGCCCCTGAGGAGAGCGCCGCCCAAATGCTACTCAACTTAGGCCAGGACCGGATTCGGCCCGTGGCGAGAAACGTGCCCCAGCAGGCGCCCTCCACAGCACACTTCGCCGCCGCCCCACTTAACATGGAGAGACTCTGGGCGGGGGATTTGAGGCAGCTTCCGTTGAGTCAAACGCCGTTGAACTTGTCGTCACCGCCCCCGGTTTATACTTCGGGGGCAGAAAAGAATGTTGGAGAGTCGACGAGCGAATCGCAAGAAGCAGCTGAAGAAGAGGAACAACCGATGATTTGCATGATTTGCGAAGATAAAGCCACGGGATTACATTATGGGATCATTACGTGTGAAGGGTGTAAAGGATTCTTCAAGAGAACAGTGCAGAATAGAAGAGTTTACACTTGTGTGGCAGATGGAAATTGCGAAATTACCAAAGCCCAAAGGAATCGATGTCAGTATTGCCGGTTCAAGAAATGTATCGAACAGGGAATGGTTTTGCAAGGTGTGTACCCACAGTTTTTTCTACCAAAAACAAAACACATCAAAAATATACTCCTTCATTTATTAATTAAAAAAAAAATTAATATGGAACTAAAATTTCCAGAAGGCTAATTTCCAGGAAATGTTGTGTAAAATACTATTTTTTATATACAGGCTGCGCCAGAACTCGCGCCCCAGAGAAAAATGCGATATAAGGTAAGATACCAGGAACATGGAAAAAATGTTAAAAAAAAATTATCTATAAGTATTTCGAAGTTATGAGGGTTTAAAGTTAGCACTTTGACTCTATTTATTTTTGTTGGAATAATAATTTTCCAATTTTTTTTTTGATATAGGCTATTAAAAGAGGAAACAAGGAAGCTGTATCCTAAATTGTAACTCTGTTCAATGTTATTTGTGTCTTTTATTGGCAAAATTTTTGTCTCTCTACTAAATAATTGTAAAAAAACGTATACAAGATCATCAGTACCATTACATAGATATAAAAAAATGTCAAATGTCAAAAAGTAAATGTCAAAATTTTTTTGAGAGGTAGAATTTTTTAAACATTTTTTCATGTTCCTGGTATCTTACCTTACTTGAAAATTTTCTCTGGGGCGCGAGTTCTGGCGCAGCCTGTATGTATAGTAAATGCAAAAAAATTTTTTTTTTAAATTACTACCTGCTAGCTTTACTCTATTTGGCATATTTTTTATCAGATGCGTTTTTAACAGTGAATTTACCTCAAACATTTTATTTTTGGGGAAATATTTAGTATATATTGTTTTTGTTAGTGTTTTCTTTTATTTATACAAACATAATTTTATGAGCGGTAGCATTTTTGCATTTAAATTATATAGCTCATCAAATTTACTAAAACTTCATTGATTTTTGTGTAGTTTTTTTAAAACAAAAGTCTTAATAAAAAATTTTGTTTGTGTCAAATAACAAAGCTTAAAAAATATCTAGACTTTGTATGAACTAACAAAATTCCATGCAGTTACGTAATAATGATGTTGGTTTTTATTCATAAGAATCATGAAAAAATCTAGGTTTGCAGGGTGGTATTTTGTGGTGAAATTGTTGTTATTTGCAGCCGTGAGAGAGGACCGAATGCCTGGTGGGCGGAACAGCGGCGCCGTGTACAACCTATACAAAGTGAAATACAAAAAGCACAAAAAGCCCGCGTGCAAACAGCCTCCAAAAGCCGCCGAGAAGAACATTTTGAGTCAACAGTTCAAAATGGAGCAACCATCCAGTATTCCAGCGAACCTAGTCAACGGGACCATATTGAAAACGGCGTTAACCAATCCGAGTGAAGTAGTTCGTTTAAGGCAAAGATTGGACAGTGCAGTTAGTAGTTCGAGGGACCGTAATTTCTCAATAGAATACTCTTTATCGATGATAAAAACACTTATAGACTGTGATGAATTTCAAGATATAGCAACTTTACAAAATTTGGACGATTTATTAGATCATAATACGGACCTCAGTGAGAAACTTTGTCATATCGGTGATTCTATCGTTTATAAACTTGTGCAATGGACGAAACGACTTCCATTTTATTTAGAACTACCTGTTGAAGTTCATACTAGACTTTTAACGCATAAGTGGCATGAGCTTCTCGTTCTTACGACATCGGCGTATCAAGCCATTCATAAAGCGGGTGATCAGTTAACCACCATCATTAAAACCGACTTCAACCACGAGGTAAATACAATTTTTTTCGTCATTGACAATCTTTGTTTCTGACCCATTTTGATAACAGTCGAGACAAATTATTTAAAAAAATTTCAAGTGGGTTATCGAAAAAACCAATCCACGTCTAATATTTTAATATCTAGTGCAATATCCAGGAAAAAATTAAAGATAAGATAAGAGAACAAATATTTATGTATCCGCCTCTATGCGACATATAAATATAAAATGCTAAAAATAGCCTTGTTTTTAGGCATTTTATAAAATCATGGTCACAAAAACCTAATTATGCGATAGCGCGACTTCTTTTCATCCCAAATAACTTAATTTCAGGTAGAGACAAATCTGTGTACATTGCAGAGTTGTCTGACTTCGATGATGGGTCGAGAAATAACGATAGAACAACTCCGGCAAGACGTTGGTCTAATGATCGAAAAAATAACCCATGTTACATTAATGTTTCGCCAGATAAAACTAACCATGGAAGAATACGTGTGCCTTAAAGTAATTACAATGTTAAATCAAGGTACGATTTTCTCATTTTTGTAAATTCCTTTTCAAAAAATTTGTTTGCTTGCAGCTAAACCTGCCAGTAGTTCCGGTAATAGTGAATTGGAGAGCATTCATGAGCGATACATGACGTGCCTACGTGTTTACACACAACATATGTATCCTCAACAAACGACGCGATTTCAAGACTTACTAGGTAGATTACCAGAGGTAAGTCTTTGGCTTTCTTGTGTGATTGAAGCGTGGCAGAGTGAAAGTTTGACGATTAGCTTGTGTGATGATAAATTTACTGGTTTTAAAAGAGAGTGAACGAAAGCGAAATTCGAGAGAATGGTGTGCACGGCCTAGAATGACTCAGATTTGATGTAACGGTAAAAAGCGAAATGGTGGGCTTCGCCGGAAGGAGCAATGACGCAGGAAATGACACAAATGTTTTTGATATTTGGCAAAATGCAGAGTTTATAGGCAAAAAAAAAATGCAGGGTGATTTTAATAGTTGTGCAGATTTTTTTTCAGTCTCGTCAAAAAAATTTAATATACGAGAAGTTTGCATTTTTGAGTACTTTATTCTAAAGTTTTTATTGTACTAGTCGGTGACTAAACTCGGTGGTATCTTCCCCAAAAAATTGATGCAAAATTTTTATCTCAATTTTTTTTTGTGTCTCATTTTAGCTAATATTGACTTATTTTTTTCAATAACATTTACTAGACTTTGACGAACCAACCTCGAAATCATTGTTCTTTACAATTTTTGTTAGTAAAATTTAAACTTGCGCGCCCTATTAAAATTTATTCGACGACTAAAACCCTCTATATGGGGAATGCAAGTTGAGTTATTTCTGCATTTTTTGTCTTCTATTATCACCTCTTAAAATTTCTGCACCAATAGTAAAATCGCCGTGTACATTAAAAAAACGCAAGAAAAATTTCTTTACTATCAAAGAAGAACCACAACTAAGTATCCCACGTTCAATCAAAAAAGACACTTGAATTTTTTATGCTTTGATTAAAATACGATTTTTTTCTATTGTTTCAAATGATCTTAAATCACAAGAATTTTTCATTTATTTCGAAAGTATTTTATAGGTGTATGTAGGTTTTTTGCAAAAAATTGAAAAATCTGAAGTTTCTTATGAAGAGAGCTGATTTTAGGAGCTGAAAGTAAAAATAGGATAGTTCAAAAAACGCAATAATTTTTATTTCGTTTTTTTTTTTTATTAATCTTTGCTGAAAGTAGAGTTACTTCGAGAGCGAATCTAAAAGAATTACAAAAACAGAAATATTTTTTATAAACTCTAAAAACAGGGTTTTGTAAAAGGACATAGTGTTTTACTAATGTTAAACTAGAATCGGTTGTTGGAAATTTCTTTTAACATATATCTGAAAATGTAATGTTTTTGTCATAAACTCCATCTTGTTTATGTCGTATTTATTTTTAATATTTTTTGTTTTTTTTTTCTTATTCTGACAAAAGATTCGGTATTATTTGATTATTTCATTAATTATCCCAAGTATGGAAATGAACAAAATGTCTATTATTATTTATGTATTTTTTTGAATCTTATTGATCAAAAATTGGATTTTTTTCTATTTCCACATATTTCGACCACCAGGTGGTCATCTTCGCGTGCATGGGCACGCGTTGAAAATAAAAGTTTTGAAATTTTTTGAATTTCGTACGTATTTATTCGTTGGTATAAAATTAATACAAAAAACACAATTTTTTTGTTTCATAACTAGAGCACTTTTATTCACAACCACAAAATAAAAAATTACATCACATCGACATTTCCCGGATTTATCCTTTCTTCTAGGTAAAGGTTTTATTTAAATAAATCTTGGTCCTTTGCTTAAATTATATGAAAACGTCTTCTAATTTTAACAAAATATTAACTTTTTATAGGTAGGTATAATCTCAAAACCCGCATAAGTCATGAATAAGGTATATAAGTAAAATCTTAACGCAGAAAAAATTTTTGGTACTATTTTTTAATTTTTTTACAACTTCTTTTATCTTTGACCACATTTATAGCATATCATCAAACCAAATTATAAAAAAAAGAAGAAAAATAATAGGAAAAAATTTCGCTCATTCTGAAAATCCACCCACCACACAAATTTGGCATTTTTCACGAATGGCATAAATAATTTTTACTCTCAATGGTCCATAATATTCATTATGAAAAATATCTGTCAATGGTTTATTTTCGCAGTCAATGCAACTTTTTAGAAAAATAAAATTTCCGCTGTTAGATAGAAAAAGTTGTTTGTTATTGTTTGCAATTAATAAATACAATTAGAGTCTGGTGGGAAAGTGCGCCGAATTGTTATTTTCTTTGTTGAACGAAAAGTGAAAGTTGTCCGACCTACAGTCAGATCACCAAAAATTCTAATTAAATAAGTGTCGAAATGTTATGAATTATTTTAGAAAAGGCCGGTCTTTCGTAATTTCCCAATCTTGACATAATGTAAGAAAAACAATCCACTCTCAAAAAACTCAAACTCTCCTCTCTTGAAACATTCTTCATTCGTGCAGATGGTCGTGCAATCCACGTCTCCTACAGCACTCCCTTTCTCTCAACTTTTCAGAATTTTAAAAATCCGAATGTCAAGGTCAAGGCCGTGCTTTTCTCGCGTAATTACCGTTAGTGTACCCAGTGAGCAAACAAAGCGAGAAAAGACTAAGAAAAGCTGTTTGGCGAGGACCATTTTGACGCACCGTTTAAAATGGCGGGTAGGAGGAGCTTCAAGTGATTTGCTTCCCTACTGGCGAACAGGCGCCACTTTCTGGCCTTGTGTTTACAAATTCATAGAGGCTTATCTATTTTATTCCCGTAAAAATGTGCCACTTCCATTCCGATAAGTGCGATATGGGCGTTGTAGCGAGTGGTCGGAATTATCTTCGAGTGGGAATTAACGCTCCATTTTGAAACCTAATAAATTACAAATTGTCGCGAAAATGAACAGATTCGGCGAATCACCGATGCAATTATGCATTCGCCATTCAACTCGAAAAGTGCAACGTCATTATTAGGTAGCAAGCATTGTAATATCACCATTTTTCAAGAGAAAGTTTTCTTTTGTTAGCGATTTTTTTAATAGTACAATTTTTGGGAACAAAAAATTGCAAACTTATAATTAGGCACCTCATTTCATTTTTTTGTTAATAAATCGTGTGCGGGTTTAACAATATTGTGATATTTTATTTAATAAACAATTTTTTTTGGATTATTCAAGCTATCGAGTTATGCAACCAATTATACGCATCGATATATTTGGTTGCATCAAATTTTCAAGTATTGTTTGTTTCAGATACAGTCTGCGGCATCTCTTCTTCTAGAAAGTAAAATGTTCTACGTTCCTTTTCTTCTAAATTCGGCGATTCAGAGGTAGTACACGAGTACAAGAAAATGTGTAGATAAGAATCGTATTTATACAGAAAATTAAAATGATGTATATAATCGGTGCAAATAGATCGGACATGAAATCACCTAATATAATTTGTTAAACATCTGATATTTATGTTTTAATGAAATGTTAATTGTAAATTATCTTCACGAGTATATGTAGGGAAAGAGTATAATAGATAAATTATATGATTTTAAATGTAAAGTGCATCGTAATCACTGAAAATGGATGATTTAAAACCGAGAAAAATCAGATTTTAAAGCACTAAACTGTGTGCGGATGACCGCTACATAAGTCTGAATAAGTTGCCTTCTATTGGTTGTAAAATGGCGTACCGGAAGTTGAGGAAAAGAGTACTTTACATCACAGTTCCTCACCGAGTTCGAATAAAAACCGGCTTGCGGTACACCACTGTTACAATATCAAATATCTTATATATTTACATTAGATGATTATATAAAATAAATGTAATAATAATTGATATGACAAGTCGTGTGGTAAATGGGTCATTTCCGCACGGCTAATACGATGTCGTATGTTATGACTGCCAATTTTGTACGTAAGTTACCAGTGCAACCAAGTATGTGTACAAATTGTCGTTCCTTTGAGTTTTTGATAAGACTATTAATCTTTTCATGTATACAATATGAATACTATACAACTTTTTTATATTTATTTCGAAAAATGGCTTAACGAAATTCTCAAACATTTCATAGTTGTACTTATAGAACAAACGAAGCAGATTTTGCTGGTGTCCGTACTGTTTCTTGCTCGTTACTACAAAGAACGCACCATTGCAGCAAAAACTACTTCTTTTGGGAAGATTCATACGATTACCTGATGTATTATGCATCGTCTTGAGTTACCGTTATTTTGTTAATTAACATTAAGGTTATCTGAGCTTGTTTATTAGAAAATAAAGCTGATTATTATTGTAAAGTGTGTTTTATTTATCCAAACAAAACTCTTACATATATTCTTCATATATAATCAACATACTTAAATGATGCAACACTAATTTACGTTCTTAGCCTTATCAAAAGTCTTCCATTGGATTCAAGTCTCTCGCGGAAAAAACTGACACTTAACAATAACTAACTTAATTAAAATCAAAGTAACAATAAAACCCAATTTAATTTAATTTACGCAAATTTCAACTAAGCCCTAAAAACCATAAATGCATTTATTTTACTTAGCACAACGGCTTTTTAGTCTTAGTGTGATTGGAAGTAAATACGGTAGATTACCGTTGCCAATAGACCGAGAGTGACGGGCAAAATCCACGACTTGAAAGAGCTGAAAAACAAAACATTTCATTAACACACAAAAACGACAACTGACACACTTTTGGGTCGTCCTTATCAAAATTTAGCAATTGTTTTCCACAGCGAACTAGACTGATATTTTTGGTAAAAATCCGAGTAACATAGTACAAGATTAATCAAATAAGCACAAGAAATAATTAATAAAACTATGAATGAAAAAAACCGTGTTGGGATAGATCAAAGTATTTATCTGCGATGACTTTGCTTTCTGAAAAACGAAACTCAGGCGAGATAATTTTTGTTTACACATCATTACTAAGCGTTTTAATTTAGCAATGTTGGTTATCAAACCTGAACTATTTCATATTTTTCTAAAAATAACAAGTAATATAGAATCAGTTTCGCGTTATATAACCGCTAATTGCTCCAAAAGTGACTTATCACAATCACGCAGGCCTTGAATAACCAAACCGATGATTGGTTAAAGGTAAAAACAATTGAAAGGAACACACCTTTGTGACGAAGACGACTGAGATGAGCTACTGGACCAATCGACATTTTTCTCTTTAACTGGTTTCTTTTCCGCTTCGACAATTTCGCCGATCTTGTACTTTTGCATAAGTTCACGTGCGTCACTGGAATGACCCACATCCTCAAAGGCCTCACTTCCGTCTTTCCCTGCCTGTTCCAACAGCACTTCTTCGCCGCCAGGGTGCTGAAACCAAGTGTGTTGTCTTTGGTTTTGGACTCACCCTTTCGGAAACTGCTCCAAAGGGCTAAATTATTACCTCATTTAGAAATTCCGTGACATCGTACACGTTGTTGTGAATCACGATCCAAGTGCTTTGGTTATCGTTGTGTTTTTTAACGTCGGCGAAGCTGTATTGAGTCGTCATTTCGAAGGGGCTGTGGAACACCTTTCACTCTATTTCGCGGTGAACTGTACTAAACTGTCAACAGCCGATTCTGGGTGAATTTGTTAATAAAAATCCTTGATCTTTGACCACTGACGCTGTAAAATTGCACTGACAATTACTAAATGTCATTTGTCATGGCTTGCGCGCAACCGAAATCCCACTCGGTAGAATTCCCAGGACGAAAATTTGACAAAATAAGTTAATCTTTACATTATAACAAACGTGTAATACGAGAAATATGAGTTTCAGTTTTGCACATAAATTAAAAGTTTTGTTTAATTTTTGGGTGCAGAAATTCAATTTAAAACAAATGGACAGAGACGGACTAGGCTAAATTCTGCGTTGCAAAGCCGGCTCTGTCACCCTCTTAAAACTATCAAAAATTGTGCTTTGTAATCTGTTATCGATTTATCATAAGTGAGTTTATGCAATGTAATGAAACACCTGCATGTGTGAAGTTTTTATTTCGAACCCCCTTATTTTACTAATTAACAATTTCTTATTTAATAAAATATATAATTAATACAAAGTAAATTTTACTGAAAATACATAAATTATTTTATACAGGAAAGAGATTATCGGATAGCATTCGTCAATCCGAATAATCCATCGTTTTTATATACTCAACAGCGGAACAAAACTGCGTCCACCAATAAAGTTCTTCGCCGTCGATCTGATTGTGGTAGAAACTATTGACGAATTGGATGGTCGACAGCAAATCAGCAGGATTCACCTAAAACTCCCATAAAGCCCCCATTTACACCCACTCGCGACTCACCCTTATTATAACATAAACCAGCACTGGTGTGAAATCGTCCGCAGTTGTGGATCCCGAATTTTGCGAGAACGACAACAAATCCATGATGCATTTCGCACAATGAACCACGCATTTCACTTTATCTCTTGGTGTTTTGTACGCATTCATTGCTTTAAGGGCATCCTGGGCCGGAATCCAGGGCATTTCACGCAGGAACATCTTATGTATCATCAAATCTTTATGATCCGGGCTTATAATACTCGCCAATTTCTCAATATGTTGGAACAGAACGCTGAAAAAAACATTTAGGTTTTTTCACCCGAGTTGCATACTTACTGATCGCGATCCCGGTCCCCATCCCCGTTTGGGTACAGGGCATACTTGTAGATTTTACTCATAATACACCTCTCGAGCGTTATTTTAATAGCATCACCTTGATTTTTAAAAACATCCTGCCATAGACCACTACGTTGCATTATTGAGTAGACTTGTTCGTAGAAGTTGTTCAAAAAGTCGCACTTTTCGTCGAAGAGAGTGATGTCTTTGAATTCTTCACAGAATTGCGTGATGCGACTTTCCTCATCGAGGAGGAATTTGCGGACGCAAATCATGCTTAAATATTTCTCGCACTGTTGTTTGTCATTATTCACTTGTTCACTTAGACTGGAATTTAGTTTTAGATTTTGCGATAATTAATAAATGGTTGTTTACCCGTCGAGGTATGATTGACAAAAAAGTAGCTCCTGACGAGAATATATCAAATAATCTGTGTAAACAGAACGTTGGAGGAAATCTTCTCGAAGTGATTGAAATAAGCTCAAACAGGTACTCTCATTCAATAAATTGATAAAACGCAAAGTTTCAGAGATTCGTGCAATGTTTGACCACTCCTTCAGTTTACGAGCTTTGCCTAACTCTAATCTAAGGATTGTTTCAACCTTACTTTTTACAGATAATCGGTTCTCCTGTTGGAAAATATATGAACATGGGGTAAAAAAAATAACAATACGAACCTTAATTACTTTAGGGGTTTGTGAAGTTGTATTACTTAAAACTAGACGCAATTTTCTTTTAATATCATCAAAGCTATTGTTAACATCGACGTTATCGGCTGAGTCTTCAGATCTTATTTTAGGAATTTTATCATTGCCGTTGGCTTCTTTCGGAGTACTTTCGACGAACGGTTTAGCCCGATATTTGGCTAAAATGTCTTCCGACACTTCTAAAAGCAAAACAAAGTGACGTTAAGTCTAACAAAGACACTATTGCATGTTTCAGCCATCTCATTCCGCTATTTTTATAACTCTGATTTATCTTATAATCAACTCTAATGAATAAAAACGTGAACATTAGCCAAGAACCTAGAATTTGCGTATTTTATGAGTGCATTAAATAAATTTTTCTACTTAATTGGGTGATAACTCTTGAAAATTAAAAATCGTTTGTAACAACCAGCAAAAGTGGGAAACATAATTGCGGAATGAGATGTCATAATAAGAGTTACTCAACAGGATTAAAATTTTTACGGCTGTTTGCGACATTATATTCTGTGATAGGACGTAATAAAATTTTCGGTTTTGTTTCAATTTAAACGGGGAATACGTCTGTACAAACCATTTTACAAATTTACGATATAAATCATTCTAATAATGTCGACGGTTTACGTTTTTTATTACAAGTAAAAATATAATATAATCTTTTCTTTATAATAATTTAGAAATTTTTGACTCGGTATGGCAAGATCTCGCAGAGTTTTCAGCTTAAAAATCTGCTGAAACTGTCAATTTCGGCAAGACGATTTTCAACTTTGTTAAAGTTTTACACCATACATATGTAAAATGTGCCGGGGAGTCAACTCCGGGTACCGAAAATCGACCAAAACCTCGACAAAAATCATTTCTAGAGTTTCTAGACACTTAAAAAATGCACAAAACGTTATTGAGTTGTGTTTAAATAATTACGAATTTCTTGAGTTTTTTAAGGCCAATTCGGTAGTTTGAAAAAAATGAGCAAAAGAGAAAATAATTAGATAAAAAAATTAATTTAGCTAAAATATAAATGTCAATATCCAGCTGTTAACAATCGGAAGTTACTCAAAAGCTATTTCAGTTTTTTTATCACCCGGTATAACAGTTTAGTTGGCGATAACAGAGCAGTTAATTACCTGCACTACTAATCTTAACCGGCGACTCATTCGGTGTTTTTTTCCCTGTCCCGAACTCCTCGCCATCCAATCGGAAATCGTCCTGATTCCGGAACGACTTCCCCCTCCTATTCCTGAACCCCATTCTCAGTTTACCGAAAAACCCTCCTCTTTTACTCCTCTGATCATCATCAAGATACTTATCACCTTTATCCGCACTCATATCAAAACTAATACTCTTGGGAATAGCACCAGTTGAAGCCGAAGGCTTCAAATTTCGATTCAACGTCGCAGCTTTCTTTACTAAAATATTCGGATTCAAATTACTGACACTGAGGACTGACAACTCGCTGGTGCTTTCGGACGGTGTCGACGTGACATTTAGACTACTCCCCGAACTGTTTAACCACTGTTTACTTTCCCAACAAGCTTCAGTATGTGAATGTTTGTTTTCAAAACTGTTGCTACTGCTGCCTGAAGAACTCGAATTCAGGCTACAGTTACTCAGTAGGATTTCGTTGGGGCGTTCATCGTACGTGTTTTGTTTCAACAGTTCGGTTGGGTTAAAACCGCTCGGTCCAGGAACGTCTTTCTTCCTGGCGATTTTTAGTTCCCCAAATGACAGGTTGTGTTGAGTGTCGGTCAACGTGACCGATTTAAACAACACATTATTGGCGTTGTTGTCGGTTTTAACATTATTCTTAATTTCGACTTTTCGGTACTCTTGATAGTAATTTACGTAATTGGACGAATTCGACAATCTCCGACTTGTCGGATTTTCGTCGGTTTCTGATCGGGTCTCGTCGGATTGTGCCACACTTCCGGCATCATCATTGTCAACTTCTGTCAATCTTTCTGTATCCGACGCCATGACATCAGTCGACCACGCACTCTCGCTCTGAGTTTCGGAAATATCAAGAATATTCCCAGTCGGGACTTCACTTATGGCTTGATCGACCAATTGCAAGCCTTGTCTTTCGGCCCGTGAATCTCCCGCATCGATCGTTTCATTATCCGATGCTAAAACATCAGTACTCCACGTCTCGGAAATGATCGAAATCGTTTCGTCCCCTTCCAACAACTTCTTTATTTCAAACTTACAAAATTTGTCGTCGATTTCGGACCGAATTTGCCGACTTATCTGCGGCTGGGGTTGCTCTACTTGTCTAGCTTCAGGCAGAGGGCGCTCCTCATTATCGTTCACTTGCGAACTGGGGGTGTCCCGACCGGAAATGTTGGGAGTACCACGACCGGAAACGTTGGCCGAAATCATATCCGAAAGGTTGTCGTTTTGGTCGTTTTCCAATTCGAGACTGCTTGCGACTGAATGGTTACTCGCCGCCTCGGATATCGCCTCGAGATTGTCAGAAGTGTTTCCGATGGAACCCTCATCTGGAAAATTCGAAAAGGGTTTTTCTTCAACGCGCCCATTTACAGCTTCAGTGATTATTTCAGAAGGTGGGTTTGGCAAAATTACTTCCTTCTTGACGTTCAGATTCATGTTGAGGATTTTTTCTTCGGGTAAGAGACCCACAGGCTCCACCAGGTCCTTGTCCATTGAGAAAATCAACACGGTTAGAGGGATGTTTTGCGAGATTTCGTCGCGAGATTTCGATGTGTGGTTTTTTGTGACTAAAAAAGAAAAATTTCTTAAAAAACAATTTTTTTTATTATACAGCATGTGTCAGAACTCATGAGTTCTGGCATGCTCCAGAAAAAAATTTCAACTAAGGTAAGATACTAGAGAAACATGGAAAAAATTTTTTTAAATTTTTTATTTATTTTATGATACTGAGATGATCCTGTATATTTATTATTATTTAGTAAACGTACAAAAATTTTCCCAATAAAAGCCCCAAATAACATTAAACAGAGTTACATTTTTTTCTATAGCAGGACTTCAAATTCGGGAAAAAATTAAATTTAAAAAAATACAATTTTTGGTTCAAATTCGCAATTGTGTTGCTCCGTTACTATGGATTACTAAAACATTTTTTCTACCCTTGCTATTAAGTGTTACTTTATCTACCCTTGTGGTTAAAGTACTACTTTATCTACTCAAAAGAGTTGATAAAGAAATAGTTTAACATCTGCTGAAAAAAAAAAAAATTTCATTAAAAAATAATATTGCAAAACAACTATCATATAATTAACATTAATTTGCGTAATAGTACTAAAACAAATATCTAATTTCATTGTTACGAATCAATTAAAAAAATTTTGCAACCCATTTGGCCATGAGAAATCCATTTAAACCTGTCATTTATTTGTACGTGTTTATCTTTATGTTCGGAGACATGACGCGATAAAACCAATTAGCAAAATTTATTATAATTTAGTGAAAAATAATTAATGTCCTTGGCACGTAATTATGACTTACTCAACGAAACTAAAGTGGTTCCTTTTCAAGGTATTTCTAACAAATTTCCAAACCGAGAAATAGCGACTTATCCCTTTTGGTAAAAAAAAAATATAAAAAATAATAGAAAGCAGAAGAATGTTGATTTAGTAACAATAATTAACATTTTTAAAATTAATGTCAGTATTGCAGTATTTTTAAAAAATATGATTTAACATAGAACATCTTAATTTTTTTTAAATTTCATTTAATTTATAAATAACAAAAAAGTAAATTTTTGCATCATTTTGGCAAACATTTAATAATAATATAACTATGCTCTTTTTGGTTTTGAGTTTTAAATAGAAAAGCAGTTTTCAAATAATGAGAAATAGCGATTTACATCTTTTGTTAAAAAAATCTGTTTATAAACTACAGCTTTCAGAAAATAATTAACCACAAAAAATAATAGAATGAAAAAAAGTTCACTTAGTAACAATAAATGACATTTTCATGTTCTCTTGGTTTTAGATTTTAAGTAAAAGTGAAGAGTTTTTCTTAAAATTTCACAGTTAATAAGTTTATCGTCCTTGACTCGCAATTACGACTTACCCAACGACAGGAAATGGTTCCTTTTCAGCGTATTTTCGGAGAACCCATTAGTGTACGGTTTGCTCGTTTTTGGCGAATTTTCCAGAGACGACGGGAGAATTAGCGACGCGATTTGTTCCTCAATAGAACTATCCCCGAGATGTTTCTTAAAATTGTCATTTTGCACCATTTCATTGTGTACTTTTTGCAAAAATAAAATCTACAATTTGCTTAATTACGAAACTAGATTATTACAAATAGAGAAATTACAAAATTGTTCAATTCGTCCTCGGCCAAAAGAGCCGAATCCCGTATAATGGTCGGCGCTAGATCAACAGGTGGTGTATCATCGTCGAATTCCAAATTAAAGAGGATATCCTCCATAAAATTGCAAACTATATCGTTGTCTAACAAATTGTAGATATCGCTGAAGCGGTTTTCAGGCGACTCGAATTTATTCAGAGCCAAAACCTGCAAGATTTGCCCGACTTGCATCAAGTTGTGTTGAGTGACTTCGGTGATTTGTGCGTCACAAATGCAGTATTGTTCAGGATCGACGATCGCAGGGCAAATATACAAAGTGAAAATTAGTTCAGTCACGATAGCATAAGCCTAAAAAATAGCAAATGAGCCGAATATTGGATGAGAAAAACGCAACGCAACTTCTTTGCTCCCAAATGATTTCGTAATGATTTTAGAAATGTGATACACAATCCACGCAATCGGCTTTGGGAAACTGTAAACGTTCTCACGTAAAGAAGAAATAAACGAGTTTGTAAATTCCGATAATTTTCTTATAACTTCAGTCCTGTATTCCTGAATATCCCTGAATTCTGACTTGAGATTGTTCTCGTTGTGTCGATACCTAAAATTTTTTTTCGCAAAATTGTCATAATACTCAAGCGGAAGTACCTCATGAGTGTTTTATCTGGATCGACATCTAGGTAAAAGTCCCTACAAGCCGCCAACCGCAAAATCGGCAATTCTAAAGCGGCACTTAGGAAAAACTTCGCAGTTGGTAACACTTCCGTGAAGATAAAAAACAAATTTTTGAAAGAGCAAGTACCCTGTTTGAGCATCCGTCTGGGATTTTCGCTCTTGAGAAGTTGCAATTTTGCGAGTTCTAGTAAAAGTTTCAGCATATAACTCGTGTCCTCTGGGAATATACATGAGGAGTATAGTCCAGTGACCACTGTTTGTAAAACATGAGAAAACTGATCGTCGTTTATTTGTTCGCCTACGAAAAGCCACTTGGCTAGTTCTTCAGGTTGCTTTCGCAGGTTTTGAAGTAAATTGTTTATTTTGACAGTTTGGTAGCCTAACAAGGTTTTAGCTTCCACAAATTCCGAGTTGGTGATGGATTTGATATGCTCGTAGTTCTGTGTTGTGAATTCTCGCTGGGAGAGGAGATATAATCGTTGCTTTGTTGTCATCCATGTGGCTTCAATTAAACCGTCAGTTTTCTTTTTAATCTGCAATAATCGTGTAAAAAGCCGTCCCTTTAAAAGTTTTACCCACCGATTTGTTTAATTTCTGGATATTTAATCTCTCGTTAGTTATGAATAATTTCTCTTTACGTAATTGTGATAGTAATTTGAAGACATTTCGGTCTTCTTTTTCTTCACTCTCATTATCTTTCATCCTAAACACCTGAAATAAATTGATCTGAAGAAAAATTGTAACAATAGACCAACCAGGTGGATAGCTACACTGGTGGTACCAGTCACAAAAATAATTAACGAAATCACAGAAATTTAAACGTAATTAATGATTCAAAAAAAAGCAAACTGTAGACATTTTTTCTAGAACGTACAATAAGTGCTTTTTGTTGGATTAAACTAAGGTGAAAGTTTTGAGTAAATATTTAACACTAACATAACCTATGATTTTTTTTTTCACACACAATTTCTAATCATGCATTAATTTTAACTAATTACCTTGACTTTACAAAAATACAGTTATTTACATCAGTCGCACTACAGAAGCCTTCTCAAAAGCCTTTTAAAGCTTGAAAACACTTAAATTACAGCTTTGTTTTGACACATTTGTCAACAAATGTCATTAGGGTCTTAGTTACATTCGCTTTTCCACTAACGCCATTTCCAACAAACGCTAAATTTATAAAATAATTTTAATCAATTGTTGTTTAAACACACAAAACTACGTAGTACAATATTTTTTATTTTTATATAAAATAACATTAAACTAAAAAATTTAGTGTTTAATAAACAAATTAGCATCTAGTGTAAAAAGCGACATGCGGAATTCGTGCACCTCAACAATCAAATTCTCAAATGTTTCAAAAAAATTTTGACTGTAAAAACAGCAAGTTTCAATGCTGGATTGTTGATTTACTTTTATTTAATTTGTAGACGATGCAGGCACCAGTGGTAGAGTCAGGCGTGCAACTATTTTCACGACTGAACAAGTCTCAATTTTGTTTGGAAGACGTGAATCCTAAACTGTTTCAAGGGGGCTCTCCTCGCCCCAATGACATTGTCGAAGTTACAGGCGACTTTAGTACGGATTTGCTTGTTGATTTTTTAGTTCGGTGTATTTTGCCAAAGGAACTCAACCAATACTGGAAAGAATCAGGTGTTGTCTTTGTAAATACCACTTTCCACATAAGTGTCTTAAAAATCACAAATACGATTGATGCCCACCTCAAAAATCTTAAAATAAAAAACAGGAAAAGTCTGATAGAAAAAGCGCTAACATTCGTCACTTTTTTAAACTGTTACGATGAAGAGCAGTTTGAAACAACTTTGAGGAATTTGGAGAAAATGATTCAAGACAAAGACAATTGTAGTCTCTTAATTATTGATGATATAACATCTCAATTTTGGGTGGCTAAACAGAAAAACTCGATTTTGAGTTACGATCAATTTTCTAGAAATATTTTCAGTCTCTTACAAAGTGTTGTTAAGAATTTAAATCTAGTTTCAATTTTTTGTCGACACCAAGTGGGAAGCTTGAAAAAACCTGTTGATTTGCAAGTAGATTACAAAATAATTGGCGAAGAATTAGACTCAAAAAAACAATTTGTAGTGATTGATTACGGAAGAAAAATAACAACAAGAGTTACGTTTAATTTAGACTCATTTATTACTTTTCTCTAATTAAAACTTCTTAAGTTGTGCTAATTTATTGTTTCGTCTCATTGCCATTTTCTTTATCCTCCTCCAATACTCTTTGGTATTGGGGTCTAATTCTTCGAGTGGCGTCGGGGGCCCCGTTCGTATACTCCACAACCATTCAGGATACTCATTATCGGGCTTTAATTCAATATCTTGTCCAGTGGTGTAAATATTTGATCCACAAACATATTTTACAAGTTTCTGGGGGTCTGTTTCGACCGGAATAACCTTCTTTTCTATCACAGGACCCATTTTACCCAACTTTTTCTTCTTCAGAGCACCTCCAATCATGCTAACGCCTAAAAATCAGTTTGTAACCTGTGCTAAAAGTCTTGTGGGGGCCTTACTTCCAGTGTCTTTTTTCGCGTAATTACATCGAGGATAATTCAACTGAAATCGTAAATATTGTTGTCGGCAATAAGTTAATAGTCTGAAGGGGCCCGCAATACTCATTGTGGCCCGATTTTTGAATTTATTGTAAAAATATCAAATTGTAAGGTTAGATTTTTGACAAATGACGTAAGCATGGGCGACTCGTGCCACAGACAGTGGGGGGTTAAATAACACACACAAAAAAATATAATTTTTTAATTATTCATGGCGTTTCAAACTTTTAAAACTACACTTGAACTCTGTTTGTTTTTGTGTACATAGCGTCCCGACTTTCGGGGAAAAACTCTAACAAGTGCTGCCAATCGTCAAACCGTAAAGCCACTAAATGCACAGCAGTGCGGGCGCGAAAAAAGAAATGGTGAGGAATATCGTAAAATAAACCCTGCGTCACTCCGAACATTTCCCCTCTACGTAGTACTTCATGTATGGTTTCGGTTAAATTCGAATGAACAGTTAATATTTCGACCTAAAAAGTTTAAAAAATGTTGGAAACACCACAAATGAGTATTTACTTCTCCATAATGGATGAAATACATGGTATTATCGAAATCGCCATGTTGGACTATGTAATTCCCCGGGAAAAAAACGCAACGTTTGAGGTATTGGCACAACTGGCGGGTGAATGACCTCTCTAGGTCTGAAAACACATACGAGCTTGAAATGTGTGGTCCGTAGATTTGTAACATCAAATCTTGTAAAGTAGCAGAATGTAAAAGAGAAATTGCTTGAGGTACCTTGAAAAAATTGTAGAAACTTTGAAAAATACGTTAAAAATTGTACTTGATTTCCTCGACTGACCGTCCAGATTTGTTGAACATAATGCCACATTTTTTTCATTTGATAATTACTGATGTTACTATTTTTTAAATATTGTTTAAGTTCGTTGATTTCATTGTCGTATTTCACTCGTGCGATTGTAGTGGAATTGAGCCAATTCCAAATCTCGCCAATAAAAATTCCAGCGAGAAAAATCGCAGTCAGCATCATAAAAGTGATGAAAATTTGTTCACGAATGCTGTTGGCTGAAATATCACCAGTTCCAGTCGTTGTCATTATTATAATTACGAAATATAATGATGTAACATAAAGATCTAATTTGTCCTAGAATAAAATTTATTTAAATAAAGCAAAAATGAGGTAAGGAGAGACCGAAAAGTGTGGCGAGGTTGTGTTAAAGACCTCATTTACCCAAGAATCGCTAAAGCAAGTAATTAAAGGACACGCACACAGATACCACCCGCATGAAAAAATATGAATCATTAAAGTCCCCCAGACTATCATTGCACTGAAACAATTTCATATTTTTTTGTCTTTAAATAAATTGTTTTACCCGATTTTCAGAAGCGAAATTTTGACCATTAACTGATTTGATCTAATTTTGTAATACTCCCAAAAATAAACCAATCTATAAAGTGTGACCAGTCTGAGACATGAAAAATAAAAACTTGCATTAAAACTAGTAAACAATGTTCCAAAAAAAGCCAAATAATAGAACGGGAAATTCACAAAAATATCGACACTGCGTTTCAGCTTCTTGTTGCGAAAATATCTGAAAAAAACGTTGTTTTTGGTCAAATTTCCACTACACTTACCGTGAAACAATTTTCTTGTTCGATTTTACGTGCTCTCCAAACCTGTTTTCGTAAGTCTTGTGCATTTCGATCAGTATTTTTAAAATAAAAGTAACATCAAGGTAAATTGCAACATTTAAGAAAAATTTATCATGATTTTGAAACGAAAATTCGTACAAAACTAGAATTGAGTTGATGTAAGTTAAAACCAGGCAGTAGATGTCTGGAAAGCTCTCATAATTTAAGTTTTATTCACAATTCACATTACCAAAAATTTTTATAAAAAGGGAATATTCCGGGATTGTTATATTGAAAAATTTCCAGGGTTGACACAAAAGGAAACATCCAACCAAATTTAGTTTGATTTCTGATAAGGTATTTAAAGGGTTGAAACTTGTAGTGGAGTCATACTGAAATAAACTTTTTCAAAAAAAAATCACAACTAGTTTTGATTATTCTACGGTTGATTGTGCGAGACTCGCCTCAGAAGTCTCATTTTTAATCTCGTGTAACATAAAATCTTCGTTTGTCAAGCTTGATGTAATTGCATCTTGAATCCAAGGATACTTATTTAGTAACAAATTGAATTCTTCAGTGTTAATACACAGAAGATCAATATTAGTTAACGCTGTCACAGTCATTGAAACTTTATGCAAAGTTCTGGGAGTCAAATTGCCAAAAATTGCGCCAGCTTCCAGATGCGACTCAAAACTTCCAGTTTTGTCAACAATTTTGACCTAAAATTTAATTTGGAAACGGCCAAATTTAACAAATATCTTACAGTGCCTCTCTCAATTATATACAACTCTGAGACAATATCATCGGCTCGAAAAACCACCTCTTGGTGAAGAAAACATTGCTCTTTGACAATCCTCCCAAAGAGTCGTAGAAATGATTTATCAATATTTGAAAATATTGGGACGTTTTGTAAAACATTTTCGAACATTACGTAAACTAAATCCTCATGAAGAGCTGGATGGAATTTAGCCAAAGTTGTGTCTGGTTCAAGTTTTTTACGTTTCCAGCGATACTCCAATTGCTGGATGACTTGCATCTGGAGAATTTTCGGAACGTTTTCTTGTACCAAAAATTTTTTTAACTCGTTTATCATTTCTTGGGTTTTGAAGAGATTGGTGTACCAGTGAGTCTTGTAACTTGCGATTTTTGCATACACATAACTAAATCACCAAATTTAGAGAAAAAAATAGTGATTTGTAATTACCCAATGAATAAAATTGTGCAAATTTGCATCGTTATTGTAATAATAACAGAACTGGGGCTTTTTGGTGTAATGTCTCCTAAACCGGTAGAAGCCAAAACACTGGTACAAAAATAAATTGATGTTGAATACACTTCGAGAGGGTGAGAAAAATTTTGAAATTTTGACCTAAAAATCAATTTGGAAAATTGGTTAAGAAAACAGGATCTTGACCTGTCAATCCATGAATTTTTGTGACACAGAAATGTTCCATTTGGGGAGTAATTACAAGTATTTATAACGAAAATTGTTGCCCAAAAATGGATAAAAATGATCACCAATGGAATAAATTTCAAAATATGGAGAACAACTCCCTGGAAATTAACAAAAATTTGTGATAATTGAAATTAATACAACTTACATATTTCTTCTTCTTTGTAAGTGTGGACACATAGTTGAAAAAATGAATTAATCGATAAATCTGACCCAGTCGAATAATTTTAGCTACGTTGTAATAATTACCAGAAAAGTGTTGTACTAGAGTTTCCCACGGAAAGCACAGCACAAAATCTAGTAAAAATTTTCCTTTCAAGTAATGAATGGCTGTTTTCAAGGGATGTATAACGAGTTGGTTCCTAGGACCGTAATAACCGACAAATAAATTAAAATAGAGGTCCAAATATGCAATTAAATCAGTAACGAAAGTGATTATGTCGATGGTGGAAGTGTAGGGTTTTAAAATTAATTGATAAGGTATCAAAATTGCCACGATTAGAGTCACCAAGAGTCGTCCTATAACCCATACTTTGATTAATCTTCCATATGGTAGAATGCAAATGGGTAACATCAGCATTTGGACCCAACACAGGACCCCTAGTTGTCGATAAGGCGTACTATAATTCTCTTTACGTTCTCTACAATACGAAATAACACTCAAGAGTGAATCTGAAATATGTTTCTCAATTTTTAAAGAATTGTTTTGTGGTTGATTACCTTCGGACAACCAGAGGTCATCGTCAACTTCTGCAATATTTTCAAGCGACCCACGTATTGGAATTCTTCGAAATTCGGTAATTAAGTCAAAATTTTCCGAACTTACTTTGAACCCATTAGCAACTTTTGGAAACATTGAAGCTACCGCCCAAAAAATTTCTTCGGTGATGTAGATGAGCTTAACATGAGTTACTGTTTCAACAGTACACAAAGAATTGACGTTTGAGAAGAAGCATAAAGTGCCGAAGGATGATTTAGGACCCAACAAGACTGAGTTTTTTTCTAAAACATTTCAGTTTTTTTGGGTTCAAACACTTTAAATTTTGTACCAAACTGGCGAATGCAGTGCCCTCTCATAATTATGTACAATATTTTTAGAAATTCTCCTTTGTAAGTCACGTATTCTTCGGGTGGTAGGACCAAAATCGGTGCTTTTGCGGCGAGAGCAACTAGAAAATTTTTATCCAAGTTTTGGAATAACGGGACCGATAAAAACGTGTCCATTTTTTCTTCAATTTGCACAACTTTTTGCATGTTTGGGTCGACATTGTAGAATAAATGTTGTCGGAAAATCGCGGCTTTATCGTACATCCATTGGAGCAACAAAAATTTTTTGACTCTTTTGACCAAATCGGAGCTTAATTGCCGATCTTTGAGACAGTCCAAAACTATGCAAAACTTCTCCTGGAAGTCCAACCGCATTTTCAGTTTCCTTGCCAAAGCAGCGGCAAATTGTGCCACGCAACAACTAAACATAAACAGCCCCGAAATGAACCCAAAACTGGTTATAACCCGATCGGTTATATTGACCGGTGAGATATCCCCCGGTGTAAAACCGGTCAAACACGACAGTGAAAAATACAAAGAAGTTAACAAAGGATCAGTTATGTACGTCGTTTGTTGCTCTTTGAAATCTTTCAAAAGTTTCGTGAATAACCAACCATCTTCAGTACAAGAATCCTCGAAACAGGTCACAAGGTATAGACACCCACCAAACCAGTAAGTTAACACAAGAAGATAAAAAATATATTTTAAGAGAGTCAAACCGTGGAAATTTGACTCGATCTTATTTTCGTATTTTCGGATAAGTTTCGGGACTCGGTAGATTTTGACCAAACGGTTTAGTTTTAGAACGTCACTAAATCGCTCGTTTCGAGTCCAAATCCAGTAAAACAACTCGGTTTTGATGCAACTGAAGAAATCCAAATAGAATCCAAGTTGAACGACCCGTTTTTGGGTGATGGCCATGAAAGTGTCAATTTTGTAATTTTTTTCGTCAATTGCTGTGGTCAGAATAATAACAAGGTCCAAAACGAGGATTACGTCGAAGAAATTCGAGAGAAAAGTGAACCAAACCGGGTAGGACTTGACAAAAATAATGTAGTAAGGGAAGGTGATGTTAATATACAAAGCGACGACTAAAATAAAATACTCCCAACATTGCCTCACTGGAGATTCTGGCTCGAGAATCCAAGGAAATTTTTTATTTTTCTCAGACGAATCCTTCAGGCGATACAAAGCCACATAACGATTATCCACAAATTTGGCTTTTTTCCTTAACTTATCTTTAAGACTTTTCACCGAAACTTTGTCACTTTTGGGAAAAAACGGATGCAAGTTGATTTGTTTATCCTCAAGTGTTTGCACCTCATGCGCGTCCACAATTCTTTGTAAAATGGCATCACGTATATTGTTGTAAACATGGGGATAAAGGTCCAGGATCGTGACAAAATCCCTCCGGTAGAGAACCTACAAAAATTCAAACTAAAAAAAAATTGCAAAAATAATTACTTGGAGTTCAGTGTAGCTGGACGTGCGGACTGAACACTTAGCTGGAAGGCTCAAAATTAGGGAGCTTTCGCCTAAACAAGTCCCTGAGGTCAGGGTAACAATAGGGCTTTCGTCGTCTTCGTCTGATAAAATTTCCACGGTGCCAAGAACCACAAAAATCTGTTTTTTTTTTAATAAATAGTAACCAAAAATCTTACTGTTTTATTTTTGACAACATTGCGCTGATAAATCAGTTGACCGGCTTGGTGGAATTCGTGTTTCATTAAATTTGAAACTCGTCGCAAAAACGCGTCGGGTTTGTTTTGAAAAAGAAGCGAAGTTTGGAAAAAATGGATGTTAATATCGACTCCAATTTCGCATTTTAGGGGGTACGGGAGAGTGGCGAATTGTGTGGCTCGGTGTACTCCATTTTTCTTCTCCCATAGAATATTGTAATAGTCTTGAATTTGTTTCGTATTGGTTGGGAGTGACTTGAGGAATTGCAAAACAGTCCGGAAGTGAGTCTTGAGATGAGTTCTTTGTTTGTATTTATTGTCTAGTAGAAGTGCCAAACTTGCGATAAAAATTGCAGTCACTGTGAAACCCATTCCCATTATTGAAACTATAAATAAAGAATTATTAATGTTCAAGTGTCTTAATCAACTATACTTGAAAGAATTTTCTCAGTCACTCTCCAAAGAGTCAAATCGCCGAAATTCCGATTCGTAATATCCATCAAAGCGAAATAAAAACAACTAACATATTGCTCCGAAGTCGTGTTGTATTTTTCAACAAAATCGCTTCTGTAAGTCGAATAATGCCAAAGACACGTCGCCCCATGCATTCTTATCATAAAATAAATCAAAAATTGAAAAGTAAAACATTTGAGGTGATTAATCCCGGCTGTGTTCCACTTCTCTTTAAAAAACAACACTAAATGGAACAAACGGAGCACTGAAATTAGTCGCAAATAGAGAAAAACTGTCTTGTTATAATTAGCAGCAAAATTCTCGTAAATGTACGAATAAGGAAACACAAGGATCAAGTCGATTGTTAAAACCATCTCGCTTCTTATCGGTTGCTTGTATGGCGATTTTTTTTTGGTCCAAATAAAATTCGCAACATTGAGGAACAAATCTAAAGCAAATGTTGCGTCTAGGAGGACAATCAGCCAGTAGATTTTTTGATCGATTGGATCTTTTAAGACCACATAAGTGAAAGTCGTAATAAAGTAATTCGTCACCAGTGAGATGAGAAATAAACATGTCCATATGTTGGAAGGGAGGTTTTTTTCTTGAGGATAATTTTTAAACCGATTTCTTTGGGTTTTTGGTTTCTTTTGGTTCATAGTGATTTGTGACGTTTAAATGACTTTTTGAAACCATGGAAATTCTTGCAATAATTTTAAGAAATTAGGGTATTTAGCTTTTGTTAAAAAAATTGGGGGCTAAACAAGGTCTTTCAGGAAGAAATTAAACCACAAAAGATAATAAAAAAACTTTCACTTAATAATAGTAATTAATAATACTGTCTCAATAAAATACACAGCACTTTTATGGACTACTGCTGTTATTTAATGGCGTTCTAAGGTTCCGAAATCAATAATTTCCTCATCTCTCTTTAATTTTTAGTATTAGGAGTCCGACACTAACCGGATATAAGATTTGGGAGTCCAAGATGGATTTCCCTTTTGAGAGAAGAAAAAGGTCAGATCAGGTCAAGTCAGCAAAATAATTTACAGTGAAAAATAAAGAATTAGATTCAGAATCTAATAAACAGAATTATAAAACATGTAATTGTATTTTTTTTGCGGAGTTTGTTTTTAATGGATCAAATTTGAAACTTTTGAAAATGTTAGAATCAAATTCTAAATAAATACTTTTTTTGTTTGAATTTTGCAAAATGTTTCAGTCATGCTTTGACTTAAATTCTTTTAAAAATTTTCAAATAATCCTAACACTAACTTTATTTTTTAAACAACACCA